CTAGATGTTGAAACCACACGATCTCTTTCAAGTTTACACAGCAGTGGCAACATCCTGTGCCTACAAGTAACTGCACCCATCGTGTTTTTATTAATGTTTGCTAGGTGACCAGATTAACTTGAGAAATGCGCTGGTTTTTGGATAATGCTAGCAAAACTTCGTCGGCAGTACTCACGTAATGGCTGGCTGCAGCAGGAGACAAAACAGTAAGTGCTGGCCGGTAAACTGGGTCATTACCAGCAGCTCAGTGCCTGTTAGATGAGTTTCAGATTCTTAAAAGACCAGTTTTTGCTTTTAGTTTCTAAAATCTGAATTCTGAGCAAAAACTGGCGGTGTGTTTGGATCCCAATTTGTAAGAATCTGACTTCATTTATTGCTTATAGGTTCACAAGAAAATGACAAGCTATTCTGAGGCACCACATTCATTTGAGTTACCGTGAACATTTTCACCAATGGTTCGTATCACGAATCGACACTAAAAATTATTTTCACCAACGATTTCAGGAGAGCGATACATCACCACTAACAGTTTGAATAAAACTAACAGTAAACATACCGTTAGTGAAAACCATTTATGTAGCAATCAAGAAAGTATTGTTTTGGGTTGCGTGCAGCTAACCATTTTTTCCCTAGATGTCCCCAAAGACATGTGGTTAGATATTTTAAGCTTGACTACAAATTACATCGTTATGAGTTTAGATATTTTTCAAATATACGAGTAGATTTATCTTTAGTTAGTTGTTTTGTGATAATATATGTTATAATAACAAAAAATATTAGTATACCAAAGTTGTAGTTAATTTGGGGATCATGCACATGTCGACATCCAAAATGTGACTGGAGGGACTATTTTTCTTAAAAGAAAAGGCGGCACAGAAAACATTAAACAGAAAAACTGTTGCAAAGATCGAAATTAAAGCCCATTGCACATAGTGGCTGAAACTCCGTGAGCTGTAAGATGTTGCAAGGCGTGTACCAAGTCGTCTGCTTCGACGACCATACAACCAATTTCCTCATTCTTAATTAATCAGCGATATGATCGATCGATAGCAGCACGTACAATCGGTCAACCACATCATTAACAGCAATGTCAAACCTGACCAGATTAAATTATGTGTTACCTAGTGTATCTTCTTCTTCTCTCTCTCTCTCTCTCTCTCTCTCTCTCTCTCTCTCTATATATATATATATATATATATATATATATATATATATATATATATATATATATATATATATATATATATATATATCAGTCCAGCTAGCTTGCACGCTGAAACTTAATATCCTGAACCGGCCAACTTGCGGCTGAGCTGAGCTATCTGCTTTATTACTTGTCATTTGCCAACTAGCTCTGAATTATGTGAAGATGCATAGATCCACGCATATTTGTTGAAACAACACTTGGTATTATGCATGCTAAAATCCAATTCTGTGAGCCGACTTCTGTTCAAGCTAGCATCATGTGGGAGAATATAAAACATATATATTATATGTCTTATTGGATGGATCATTGACCATATTTAAGTAAGGTCAGTGAGCATGATCGTTACTAGAATACTAGTTAATATATTGATGCGTCTACTAATTTATTCGTAAACTAATTAACCATGTGTGTCTGACCATTTGTACGTCAAAAACAAAAGGCTAGACACCCAAAGCCATCTCTCTGATCTCTCTTTTTTTTGTTTTTTTGACGGCAACTTCCTGATCTCTCTTCACTCCCCAATATTGCGTATGCACCGATTTTGACCTCTCCGCGTATCAAAAGCCCGTACTTAGTCAGCTGCTTGCATTGCACTGAGGGATCACAGCAAACCGGCGGTGGTAGTGTCATACTCATCACTATCAGGTCATTGGCTTCAAACCTGCAGTGACCTTCATTTTTTTAAAATTTTATATTCTTTATTATTACATTTAAATAGAGGTCATTGTCTAATATTTTACATTTGATATTATTAATACATATCTCACTCCTATCACATATCTCACTGCTTCGATAATGACTACTCCCTCCGGTTCTATAAAACAAGTCGTTTTGGACATCGACACGGTCTTTAAGAAACGACTTTGACCGCTACTTTTTGCTATAAAATATTTATAAAATATAGTCAATATATACTTTTATGAAACTACATTTCGAGATGAATCTACTTACATCACTTTCATATTTTCAAACTCAACCCAAAAGAAGTTATTTGTAGTCAAAGTTTAAAATGTTTGACTTAAGACAACCTCAAAACGACTTGCTTTAGAGAACCGGAGGGAGTACATCATAATTAGAAAACCATACATAATAGGTAGAGATGAAGTCAATACAAATTGAATGTCATAATGTACAAACCAAAATCCATATAGACGTAATTACAGCTGATAGTCTCTTAAAATGAAGAGGCCCGCATCTACTAATCATTTTCAGAGGCAGTAGATTTTTCAGTGTCCCCGTAAATTGGTTGAACATCTCTGAAGACCATAGAGTATTTTTAGACACAAGGAGACTTCAGAGACCACCTTTGTAAATAAAAGGAGTTATCTTCTAAAATTGTTATTATAGCGCCCCCCCCCCCACCCACCACCACCACCACCATCACACACACACAAGTTTAGTTCACTTGTTTTATAATTGTTCTATACATGGGGTGCAAAATCTTGCTTCTTTGTTATTGACAGGAGTGGCGGGACTTTGTTGGACAATTTGACTCATAAAGAATGATTTTGTATTTTATAATGGTTATATAAAAACTTTTTTTTAGATTCTATTCACGGAGACGCACTGCCTTTGGTTTTGGCAGTTATGACAGCAAGAAATGGTTAATGTGTGCCAACTTCTAGAGTCAAGAGTTGCGCAACTGTTTGCGTTACAATGATGGTTATTTAGGTTGCGTATTGGTCAATAGTGTCAAGCACCTTTTTTTTTGTTTTGAACTCGAGTTGATTTCGTAATAATCATGATCTAATTCCTCTTCTACGAAGAAGTTTGAAGCCCAACAATTTTATATTAACTAAAAAAGAAGCAGTAATGGTTGGTAACATTAGAGCTGTAGAGTCTCATGGAAAAACCAACAAAAGCAACGAGGGGCATTTCGGGTAATTGAGTCAAAGCCATGAATATGTGTGCCATGGATATGTGTACACAGTGAATATTGAGGTAAAATCTTGGAGTCAAGAGCATTGTTGACGCAGCGATTGATGCCTATCCATCCTCTAGAAAGTCCTGAAAATTCTACCACGCCGTCACGATCACCATTTACCATCACGAAGACCTGCACCAGCAGTTGCAGGAGCATAATCGCCGAACATGACTCGTAGCTAGCAGCACTAATCTAGAGAGAGATATATTCCAGGCTTTCTTTTACTTTTCCTCCCAAATGCTAGAGCAACATCAGAAGCCAAGCATGCATGTACACACAAAAAAAATTTGAAAAATCTTAGCTCTCTCAAAAAAGAAATATAATGAAAACAAAAAAGGCAAGGATAATTACACGAGTAATATCAGTGACAGTGAGCAAGGTTTTTATTTTCAGAAATTAAAATTTATCGAGGGTCACAAATAAAGAGGATAAATAGGATATATCGGAAATATTGGATCATATTCAAATAAAATTTAATTTAAATTTAAGTAAATTTAAACAAAATTTGTATAAAAAAGATAGATATTTTTTTATCAACACCTACGAATAAAAAAGATATATAAAAAATATCGGAAGATTTCAATCGAAAAAGGAAACCACGACAGTGAGACCATGTATGCATGGCCACTGCGGTGCACCATGCCACCATCACATCATCTTCACTTTGAGTTGACCCACACCAACACAAGCCCATGAGGTATACACATACACCCATGCATGAGTCCATAACACACATATTATACTAACTAATAATCAGTCCATCAAAAAATTATCATGTTCTACATAAAAAGCCATATATTGTTATTTAATAAAGGGTAAAGTCCAATTTACACCCTCCAACTTTCACCAAAGTCCGGATTTCAACCTCGAACTTCAAAACCGGACAACTTTGGCCCTCCAGCTCTCGAAAAAGTTCAACTTTCAAACTTACGGCGGTTTCACGTGTGAGCGATAACTTTTGATATTTTTAGGGAGCAGCGAAATTTATATTATTTTTGAGCATCTTAACGTTCTCAAATGAAAAACTCAAAACTACAAAAGTTGTAGATCTCATCGAGTCTACAATTTACATATAAAATTATCTTCATGACATTGTATTGAAGTCTTTCTATTGGAAACAATTTTTGTCACATGATGAGACTCAAATTTCAAAAAATAGAAAACCTTTCAATACGATGTCGGATGAAGATAATTGTTATATGTAAATTGTAGATCTCGATGAGATATACAACTTTATAGTTTAAATTTTTTTATTTGAGGACAGTAAGATGCTCTTAAAAATAATATAAAATTTCAGCACCATAATTTATCGCGTGATGAGACTCACATTTCAAAAAAATAGAAAACCCTTCGATACGATGTCGGATGAAGATAATTTTTATATGTAAATTGTAGACCTCGATGAGATCTACAACTTTGTAGTTTTTAGTTTTTTCATTTGAGGACGTTAAGATGCTCGAAAAAATAATATAAAATTTCGGCGCTCCCGAAAATATCAAAAGTTACGGTTTACCCGTAAAACCGCCCAGAAGGTTGAAAGTTGAACTTTTTCAAGAGTTGGAGGGCCAAAGTTGACCGATTTTGAAGTTTGAGGTTAAAATCCGGACTTTGGTGAAAATTGGAGGGTGTAAATTGGACTTTACCCTTTAATAAAACACAAAAAAAAAGAACATATGCCCATGTATACTTTAGTATATATGGAGTGATGAGAAGTGTTGTTGTTGGTTTAGTGTTATGCCACACCTGGACCTTCCCCCGCTATATATCACACGCACACACCCTTCACTTGTCCTCCCCCCACCATTTCCGCTCCTTGAACTGAATCTTCCCCAAAGCATCTCCCTTTCGCGTGGGTGTAGTAGTGATCGGATGGACAGCGTGAGCTGCCTGGTGGACGACGCGAGCAGCGGCGCGTCCACGGGGAAGAACCCGGCGCCGGCTCCGGCTGCGGCGACCGGCAAGCCGCTACAGCGCGTGGGCAGCGGCGCCAGCGCGGTGATGGACGCGGCGGAGCCGGGCGTGGAGGCAGACTCTGGCTCGGGCGGCGCGGGGCGCGCCGCCGGAGGCAGCGGCGGGGTCAACGGGAACGGGAAGCTGCCGTCGTCCAAGTACAAGGGCGTGGTGCCGCAGCCCAACGGGCGGTGGGGCGCGCAGATCTACGAGCGGCACCAGCGCGTGTGGCTCGGCACGTTCACGGGCGAGGCCGAGGCCGCGCGCGCCTACGACGTGGCCGCGCAGCGGTTCCGGGGCCGCGACGCCGTCACTAACTTCCGCCCGCTGGCTGAGTCGGACCCGGACGCCGCCGTGGAGCTCCGGTTCCTCGCGTCCCGGTCCAAGACCGAGGTCGTCGACATGCTCCGCAAGCACACCTACGGCGAGGAGCTCGCGCAGAACTGGCGCGCCTTCGCCGCGGCGTCCCCGGCGGCCTCGCCGCCGCCGGCCAAGAACAACCCTGCCGCATCGTCGTCGCCCGCGGCGGCCTCCGCGGCGCGCGAGCACCTCTTCGACAAGACGGTGACGCCGAGCGACGTGGGGAAGTTGAACCGGCTGGTGATACCGAAGCAGCACGCGGAGAAGCACTTCCCGCTGCAGCTCCCGGTCCCGGCCGCCGCGGCGGCGGTCAGCGGCGGCCAGTGCAAGGGCGTGCTCCTCAACTTCGAGGACGCCGCCGGGAAGGTGTGGAGGTTCCGGTACTCGTACTGGAACAGCAGCCAGAGCTACGTGCTGACAAAGGGGTGGAGCCGCTTCGTCAAGGAGAAGGGGCTCCACGCCGGGGATGCCGTCGGGTTCTACCGCTCCGCCGGCAAGCAGCAGCTCTTCATCGACTGCAAGCTCCGGGCCAAGACGATGACCACGGCGGCACCACCCTTCGTCATCGCGACGACGACCACGGCCACACCGCCCCACGCCACGGTGAAGGCGGTGAGGCTTTTCGGCGTGGACTTGCTCACGACGACACCGAGGCCAGCGGTCGTAGCGGCGCCGGAGCAGGAGGAGATGGTGGCCGTGGCGAACAAGAGAGCTAGGGACGCCATCGCCTCGTCTACTCCAGTACACATGGTTTTCAAGAAGCAATGCATAGACTTCGCGCTGACCTAGCTAGCTAACGTTTTTGCTCTCCATCCCTCCTCTTGCTGCTTCGCTCTCGGATGATGATAAGATGCATGGTGGTGGTAGCTAGCTAGTAGCTTGGTGCTAGCTCTTGCATTTTAAACCTTCATTCATCTGATCTCATCCTTGGATTGTTCATTTTGTTTAGTTTCTTCTGTGTCTTTGCAGAAATGCTATACAACGTACATGTTTTTAGCAAAAAAAAAAGGATTTTTTTTTATCTATGACGTATAGAGCCACGTGTCATAACCGATGTGCACGGAGGCACCACGCCCGTGCCTCCCCGGCTTGCTGCTGCCTGCTGCCCCGCGCGGTCCGTAGTCCTCTCAACTGGCGGCGAACGAGGCGTAGATGCTGCTCCAGATCAAGCACGTGTGGGGGCGATCCGCTCATACTCGCCGGAGGGCCCGCTCTGGCCATAGCGGTGGCGGCGGCACCCGCGCCCGTACCCGGCGCGCCTCCCCGCGCCGGCTATGGCGGTGGCGGTGGCGGTGGCGGTGGCGGCAGTGGATCCGGTTCTAGATAGGCCTCTCCTCCTCATTCTCTACGATTTGTGATTTGTGTTTTCATAAAAAAAAATTGTATCTTGTAATCTGTGGATCTGTGATATTATGATTTGTGATTGTCTGGAGGTAGAAAAAAATTAGAGGCTAGAAGTATAAGAAAGATGGAAGCTGTTTGATCTTAATTCTATAATGTAAAAAAATTTATATGTTAAAATTACATAAAACACGTGGCTGTGAATTAGACACCGCTGCTTCTTAGCTCCTACGTAGGATATATATGTGCTGCAAATTTGACTCCCTTGTTCTTGAATTAGACACTGCTGCTTCTTAGCTCCTACGTAGGATATATGTGTGCTGCAAATTTGACTCCCTTGTTCTGGCGCTTTCATGTGGTTAAGATGTGATGGGTGTGTGCTGCACCTGCACCCAGATGCATTGCATGTATCACCTGAAGTGCAAAAAGGCTCCTGGAGTTATCTGATCCCAATCCCAGCGCGGAAAAGGAGAGGGAGAGGGAGGTGCCCCCATAATTGCATGTATACATGCACCTGATGATATATCTCCACAGTGTGATGTGATACGATCGATCGACATATGTCCCGGAAAATATATAAAGTGGAATGAATGACATATACGTTATTTCACAGGGGAGACGATATGTATCTATAGCTAGCTAGGTAGCCAGATAAAGGTCACCAATAATACCAACAGAGAAGAATCATATCTCTGGGAACGTACAAACAATAACAAGCTGTTTTGATTGTAGTGTCACCAATAATACCAATATATACATGCTTTGCATGCGTAGTCATTTTCAGCAAGTTCAAAAGTTCATGGTGGCCTCTGCCTATATATATTCTCGACATATGTGTGCCCTTGCTAATGGTCCTCTTCTTCAAGCTTTTGCATCACAACACATGCATGATCAGTGTGGGTGCGATGTAATGTTTGCGAATTTTCAGCTGGTCATCGCTGGACAGTGTTAATAAGGTGATGATGATCAGTGAGCTGAGATAGATGTCTTTCTTGTGAATCTTGCTATCCTGAGAGGCTGAGACTACACCACTGGCTGGCCGGAAAGCAACGGGAAGTACGTTTAGCTGTTTTGGAGACTTTGATGATCGATAGAGCCTGTTCGGCAGGCTGGGTTTGCTCGTATACGATCGTAAATTTCTAATCGAAATAGTATTTTTCTCTCACATCAAATCAACTAGTAGTAATAATCCATGATCCAGCCACGAGCCAGCCAGACAGCCGAACAGGCTGAGGATTGAAAGAACATGGGGATCGGATGGAGAAAACGTACAGTGCGCGTGGCATCTGGGAACGAAGCACGCGGGTTTCTAGAGAATGCAGGTTGATAGCAATATGTAGTATATATAAGCAATGATATTATTATTTGTAGTTTTACTTTCTTCTTCCTGGTTTTAAAATTCTAGTTGAAAACAAAAAATGGTTCGGTCATGCGTCTAATATATCTATCTTATCTTAGTTAATTTATATAGACAGATGCGAGGTAAATTCCAGTGGGAAGAGACACGATCGAGCAACGTTCAACGGTTTTAGACCGGCTTTGGATAGAGACGAGGTAAATTCCACCGACTGCTGCGATCCTGATCGAAACAGATAAACTATGGCCGCCATCTGTGCATTGGATGCTCGACATGACGTGGTGCACACCGTGCACGCGCTTAATTTTACACGTCAAGATTACTCAACCAAAGATGGATGCTCCATTTATATTAGCTTGCTTTTTTATCTTAATAGTTGCCCTTGGAAATCTCCCTTCCCGAGAGTTAAACAATCCATTAAACTTATAAAAATAGTATAAATATTTATATCTTTAAATATATTTGTGTTATAATTTTTTCCATCATTAATCTAGCAACACTTATTATATATTATAATGTTATTATTTTTCTATATATATTGGTAGCATATCGGGAAACGAGATTTTTTATTCTTCTTTTGGAACAAAGTGAGTATTGCCCTTGTTAATAAGCAAGAAATAGTTCATGCATTCTGAGCACATGTATACTACTCTCGCGAGTCACCAATTTTGTTCTCTTTGGATTGCGGGAATCTTTTCCACTTCATGCGTTTTTATGTGAAAATAAACTGATTCCTATAATACTCCTGTGAAATTCATGCATTTCAAAATGGCCCTAAGTGTATTCTTTCGAGATTCGTACACAGTCAACACAAGTTTAAACTTTGACATCATTATCTTTTTAGTTACTCTTATTGAACTTTTTACAAACGATATGGTTAGATTTGTCTTTAAAAGTATTATAATTCTACAAAATTGTCTATACATTTTATACTATTCCATTCGTCCATGAGTAAGAAGATGACCCCTGTAGTGTCCACGTATATTAAGATTTCTGAATATCCAGTCTAGAGCTTGGCAATCAAAAGTTGGCTCGGTTGCTTTAATGATGGGTATAAAGACTTTTCCATCCTTGCTTAATTTTCCTAAGAATCCCATAAGTCTTTATATATATATGTGGATAGAGGGAGCTACTATCAATGGTCAAAGTAATGGCTAGCAACTTGACACCAATTATCATATATGCAAACTACATAAAGCAAATTCACAATGGCTCTAAGTAGAACTAAGGTCTCATTGTTGTGCAAGTAACTAACCACTAGATGCCTAAGCTAGCTAACAAGAAAATAAGCATAAGGCGCCGTTTGGGTCTCATTCTCACAGTGATATAATTCTCTAGATAATGATGTAAACTCTGGATTTTAGATTAAAGATATTGTGAGGCTTCTTTGCATTGGATCTTATCCTCATAGTGATTATTGTCTTTGCATAGTGAAAAACTTTAAATAGCAGTGTTTGGGTAGATAGCTGCATTCTAGAATTAGCAATTATAGAATCCAAGTGTTTGTTGGACCCCATTGCTGTTTTTCTATGGAGATTCGAACGGGACTTAATTCACTTACTCCCTCCATCTCGGAATATAAGTATTTTTGAATTTGTCCTAAGCCAAATTTTCTAAGTTTGGCCAATATTATAAAAATGAATAATAATATTTACAACACCAAATACCCATGATTAGATCTATTATAATTTAAATTTTTCATAGTTTACTATATGTTCTAGATGTCAATACTCTTATGTAGAAATCAGGTCAAACTCAGAATAATTTGAGTTAATTGGGATAAACTCGGAAATCCTAATGCTTCACGATGGAAGGAGTATATATTTTAGTGTTGCAATTCCTTGCACTGAAACATACTCCTAGAGTCCTCGCAGTCTTGTATTCCCAGTTTGAGACTACTGCCTATATCTGAATTCTGAATATAGTAAGAATCAGGGAGTGAATTCTGAATAGTAAGAATCACTGCACCAAAAAATCAAAAGAGTTAATAATTAGGGAGTGGATCTCTACCAAATAGGACCTGACTTACTCGATCAATCTTGAATTGTAAGTATTTTTTAGTTTATCCCAAGCCAAATTATTCTAAGTTGGGTCGATTCTTTTTGGGGACAGATCAGGTCAGATTGGTTGGGTCGTGTGTGGTCCATGATCAGGTCTACTCTCGCTCAGAGTTATTATCGGCAGTCTTGTACTCCCAGTTTGACACTACCGCCTATATCTGAATTCAGAATAGTACGCAATCTTTGAGCTGCATGACTTGAGCCGTTTTTAATATACGCAGCCCACGCTAAGGGTCTATTTGGAATGCGGAAAATTTCATGTTCTTATGTTTTTCCTTTGAAATAGAGCTAATTCCTGTGAAAAAATTTCTGTGTTGCAAGCAGAGACCCTGATGGCCTGATCCTTGCCATTTTGGCGATGCATCGGCAGCAAGTCGATCTCTCCTGCTGACGAAAAGCTGATCCAGAGAATTCGTTCCCACAGTTAGCAAGCAGGAAGCAGTAGTATGTGTAGGCGTCAACTCATCATGGCCTCTCTGCAATCTGGCCTGGCCTGCCTGCCACCTAATCCTGATCCTGATCGACGACTGATGAGATGAGCCACAGCCACCCCGGCCGGACACTGTTTCCCGTTGGAATCCTTCTCGGCGGCTGATGAGTGAGTGAGATCGAGGGGTACTGTACAGCAAAATATAGCTAGCCAGCGACACTTATTTTAGAGTACAGACATGGGTGGCCGGGTGGGCACACATAGAGTCACAGACAGCGGAGAGCGAGAGTCTCACGACTCACTCAACGTAGTCAGAGACAGCACACCAGATCAGAGACAGGAGAGACGGCCCGACTTCTGCGACCGTTGACAAAGCCAGGACCTTCCACCTACTCCTGTACTACCTCTATGCAGGCTGCACGCCGGCCGGCCGGTGACCACCTGCAGCCTGCAGCTAAGCTCGCAACAGTCCCTGCGGCGGCTAGTCGGAGTCACAGCCACACACGCGCGCGCGCGCGCGCACACACACACCTGCAAGTCGCATTGCAAGGCGCGGTTGCACTCGTTGGTTGAGCGAGTGAAGTGAACCAGCAGCAGCTGG